AGGGGGCGAGGGGGCGTGCCCCGCCCACAGCCGGCCAGGAAGAGCTGGAAGGACCATTCTGCAGCCCAGGCTGCGGGGCCTCAGCCACTTCTGCTGCGTACCACCACCCCGAAGGGCTGAGATGGTGGCTGTGGAGCCCACACACACCATCCAGCGGATGCACAGGGACCGGAGCCTGGCTGGGCACCTGGGCTGTGAAGGGTGTCCCTGGCCCAGGGCTGGGCCACCATCCTCCTGCAGAGCTTCTCCCGCCGGGCTGGGGAGCAGTGGGTCCGTAAAGAGACAGAAAAGGAGCTTACGGTACCTTGGATGGGAGCTGGAGTGAAGGATGAAGCGGTGGCCATGGAAGCATGAGAGATGGGCTGGGAAGGGCCCGGCGGAGGGGCTGGAGTGGAGTGAACATGTGGGGTGGGGAGCTGGGAAAGATCTGGGGAGGACGACAAAAACACAGGGACACAAATCAACCCCGGGATGTGCCAGTGAGGCATGACAGCCCATCGGAGGGGACCCTGGCTCCCCCCAGCCTGATGGGACCTGTTCTTCTCAGTGCCTCCTTCCACAACCCCTCTTCTTGGCCATGGGTCCCGCTCCTCTTCTCCTGCCACCATCCTGTGGGACACACTGCTGTGAACATCTTCCCCCATCTCCTACCCTGCCAGCACCCCCTCCTCTGCGAGGGACCCCACTGGGACCCTCCTGCCTGGCAGCCCTGCGACCGCAGTGGCTGAGAAGTGTCACCGTGAGGTGCCACCTGCACCTTCCTATGCAGGCCCTCGGGGACCACTCCGTCCCCGCGCTGCCGAGCGAGGTGGCTGTGGCGGCGGGCAGGCTCGAGGGCTCAGGCTGCTCCAGTGACAGTGCCCGAGACCTGAGCAGCTCCGGGGAAAAAGAAGGGGGATTTGACAAGGGGAACCAGGCCTCGGTGTGGAGCTTCTCTACGAGGGGCTGTGACCCCAAGTGGGTGTGGGACACTGGTGTTCTGGGTGCTGTGTGCTCGTGGACAGTGCTGAGCACCCCAGATGCTGCTGTGAGCCCGCGGATGGGTGCTGAGCACCCTGGGGGCTGCTGTGCTCCTGGATGAGTGTGTAGTCCTCTGGGTGCTGCTTTGTGCTCACAGCCAGGCTCAGAAATCAGCTCCCTGGGCAGACCCCACACCCAGCAGGATGGGGGGGACACAAGGGGTGACAAAGGAAGGGCTGCATAGGGTTGGGCATTTCAGGGCTCATCCTGGACAAGCAGAGGAGAGGTACTCGGGGGCGGGGGCAGGGTGCCCAAGGTGCCACTGCTGCCATGCGCTCCCTCTACCCACAGCCACGTTGGAGGGGAAGGATGCCAAGAGCGTCCAAAACAGGAGGGAAGGGAATGGGGAGGGGAAAGGGAAGAGCTGGAGCATGTAGGAGTGCTGGATGGATGGAAAGTCCAAGGCTGGTAGAGAGGAGAGAGATTTGGGAGAAGGGGAGGATAACCCCAAATCCAAGGCCAAAACCACCGGGAAACAGGCTCCTACCAACACAGGAAAGCTGCTGGGCAAGGGGGTGGGTGCCGAGCATGGGAGCCAGGGTAGCAGTGCCACCAGCTGGGGACGAGGTGGAGAAGCTCTTGCAGCCTCGTGCGGCACCCGGCTCTGCTCCACGGGCGACACGCGGCGCTGGGACGCAGCGGAGCACAAGGACAGCACACACAGCAGCAGAGCACAGCCGGGGTGGGCAGCGCGGGGACAGCACCCTGTGGGGAGGTGGTGGGTGCTGCCCTCTCCCACGCCAGGATGGGTGTTGAGTGGGGGCACGCGCCGGGGGCACGGGACGCAGTGCAAGCCTGCGGCTCCCGGGGCGCAGGGCCAGCCCATGAGGCGGGG